CGAAACCAAAGTTTCTCAGCGGATTTGGGCTGTACTCAGCAAGCGCAGTACAGACCCGAAGTCAGAACAAAAAAAAAATCAGAGGAAGACTGTTTTCTGAGCCGTTGGCTACCGCCGACCGGTCGACCCCGATTGGTCGGTACAATACGGTCGGCGGTCGGCCCGACCGGTCGGCGGGGATGCAACCCTGGTTGCTAGGGACTTCCCTGGTCCTTGCACGGACGGGCCACTGGGTAAATAGGGTGACGCGGGCGTCCCAGCTGGTAGCCCAGGTAGTTATAGAATTCTGTGATTTATGCATGTCTGTGCAAAACTGTTCTTTTTGCGAAAATATAAAAGATAGGCCTCAAGTGATCGCTCCTTGCAGAAGTTTGGCCACTTTCAGTTTTTATTATTATTTTTTTTTGAACTTTGATTTATCCACATGGTGCGCCCGGAGCTGACTAGCTGGTGGCATTTTTGGCATTTATTAAATTTTATTTAATAGGATGGATCAGTAATCAGGGGCCAGAATGAAATCTCTCACCCCTCGACAGAGAAGTCGTTGTGGCGAAAGCTGCCGTCAGGTGCATCGGTATGTTTATCTCATCTCCTTCAACTCCTTGCTCCTCGTTTGATATAATTATTTAATTTATTTTTTAAATACTTCGAAGTGGGTAGCCCCTCACATGATATTGTTGTATTTGTCTGAGACCATGAGGATTTTAACTGTTCCTAATTATTAACTGTTTCTAACTGTTTACTAACACTTACAAGTGTGTAGTACTGTGAACCATTCAGTCACATGAGGACCAGGTACATGCTCTTTGATGATTGTTTGGGTTCATCGGTGCGGTTAACTTGCTGACGAGGTTTACCTGTTTGCTTTTTTTTTTTCCTTTTTTTTTTTTTTGCTTCTTTTTGCTTTTTTGAAGTTGTTTTTCTTTTCTCTTTTGATGTACGTATATGCTCTTTGATCACGCGAGTCCAATTTGTACTGGGATTACCTTGTAGGAGAGGTATTGAACTGTGGATAATATCAGAAATAGGGGCGCAGTTCACACTGTTGTTATGTTCATGCTTTGAAAGAATGAATTTAGTTGCGACAATGGCTAGGTGAGCGTAGGTTTGTGCTCTTTCTTAGCTCAAAACATAACGCCGTCGGGCCCTGCTGCTAAGCCAAGCCCATTTTCAACTAAGTGCCTCCGGCGGCGTCCGCCCATCAGAAGGAAACTCTGCAAGCTCTAGTCTCTCTCTCTCTCTCTCTCTCTCTCTCTCTCTCTCTCTCTCTCTCTCTCTCTCTCT